AGTCAGCAGACATACCGCTGTGCCACTGGTCCCCTCCTCAGTCGCACAGCGGCCTTATAACGCTAGAAACCGGTTTTCGGTACTCGTGGTGGGCAGAGCACAGATAGCCCTTTTGTGTAGCTTTGTGCTTAATAATAAACATCGACATCAACATTGTTGTAAAGCACAAGGCTACACAATGAGTTAACTGTGCTCCGCTCACAGTGGGTATCGAAACCCGATTTTTAGCGTTATAAGCCTGAAAATTTACCGCTAACTCATTGGGGGAGGGGGGTAAATAAAGAAAACTGTAAATAATAATCCCAAAACACTGTATACTCCAAAGAGAAAACCTAATTCTAAGTTTTATATTCCCATGCGATTTAATCATGTTGCACCCCTCAAAAGGTCCTTTTAATACAGTGTTCATTTTATCCCATCACATATTTAACTTTACATCTTTAAGTGAGATTTAAACTTTGCCATAACTCCTAAAAGAAATACTTATTTTAGATACCAAAGGTCAACTAGAATATTTCCGCCAAATAATCGTAATTAGTGTTACAGCTATTGGTAGTGAACATAAGTGTTTGCTTTAGCGCAAAACGACACAATAAGATATATGCACTCTTTCCAATAAGGTGAATCGAACCAGGGATTTTAGTGCTAGAAGTCCGTAAATTTACCGCTCAGCCACATTAGATGTAAATGTAGTGATTTCAAAGGCATACTCAATTACGCCTTTGTTACTAGTTGTAAAGAAACAGTTGAATGAATACATATCTTACTGGCTCGGCATAGCCAGGTGGTTAGGGCGCTCGACTTCACATTATAACGCCCTCACGGCTGAAAGGGTGAGCACGTTTAGAGTGACGGGGATTCGAACCCGCGACCCTCAGATTGCGGTCACTCCCACTATTCGTTGGTAAAAGAGTAGCCTAAGAGTTGGCGGTAGGTGGTGATGACTAGCTGCTAAATTAGGGACGGCTAGCGCAGATAGCCCTCGTGTAGCTTTGCGTGAAATTCAAAACAAATAAACATATCTTACTCCCGTGAAAATCCTAAAAATTTTAATGTTGCTGATTTATTTGTCATATTCTAAAAGCTTCTAAAAGTTTCTGATATTCAAAAGAAAAACAAAACACACCAAAATCAATCAAATCCGATGTAATAAAAATCGATATGCAAGCCTTTAGAAATTTAAATATTTTTATCTTTTGTGCATACCAGCATAACTACAGTTGATTGTTATGAGTCGAACTGATTAGAGCAAAAAAACAACAAAACATCTGAGTTATTAAATAACACTGAACACTTAAAATGTTTGAGCTCTAATCCTACCCAAGGCAAGGAAAATTTCCTAAATTATTTTTTGTCAGAACTTAGAAAAACAAACAAGACAACTTATACAAGGTCCACCTTTCTTAAACCTCCGAATACTCATATACCGCGCTGCGTTTTATGGTATTCTAAAAATCCATAAAACGTATTTTCTTATAATACCTATTACATCCAATTTTAATGTCTTCATTTTTAAAGTAAGCAAGTTTTTTGCTTGGTTAAGCAAACGTGTGATTAAATCACCTAGTTATTTTAAAGATTGGTTTGCTTTATCTAAAGATTTAAAAATTCAGCTTTCGCCCTGGTTAGCCACGATGTTACCACCTTCAGAAGAGCGATGAAGAGTGTAAATGTGAGAAAGTATTTTCTTCTGTTGTCAAGGGTCAGGTTAATATTTTGATTAATTTCTTATAAACATTTCAATTAATATCGGTTTAGTTTTAGAATATAATAGATAATTTGTGCTACTGTGATTACATGATATAATTTTCATTAAACTGTTATTACTAGGTTAGGCTTAGAGATTATTACTGTTACCAACAGTGTTAGTACAGTCACTATAGCTTCATCATTGTATTTTATTATGTAGAATTATACACAGACTTTTCTCTATATTAACATACTTTTATTTGCGAACTTTCGGCCCTCTTCCGGAGCCTTCATCGGGCAACAATGTACCCAATGTACCCTCACGAGCCAGTGGGGGACATTTTTGTTAAAAACAATAACAAAACACTACCCAATCCGGTTTTTCTTAATTTTAACTGAAAGTTTTTGGACATTTTTATTGGCTAAAAAGAAGGCATTTTCCGCACTCTTTTAGCGTTGGGCCTGCGAAAAGTGATTTGAAGTGGTAAGGTGACTGAAATCCATCAGCGTATCACGAAAATAACGACCAAGCACAAGAAGCATGGAAGTCTCCAAATGACATGCAGAGGTATTCAGGAACCGTTTAGAACCACCTTGGTAGATATTGTGTAGCAAGCCGAATATAATATTATGCCTGTAATTGCTTTCAAAGTGTTCCTGTCTGTTCATCCTACTGCTGACTATCGTGATACTTTGACCTTCCCTACCGAATCGCAGGCGAAATCGTTCGTATCTCAATTGAAAGCGAAACATAAAAATGTGATAGCAGAAGCATAAAAGGTTGGCAATTGCTTAATTAATGATGCTGAAAATGTGGCTTTATTGATATATACTGAATTTACTCCCAACGGGTAGACCTTAGTAATATCTAATATGGAAGCTTGAAGATGCTGTATTTCACTTAATTAGCTATCAA